TAAAGTAAAAATTATACATTAAAAAGCAATCATCATAATTCTTAAAATTTTAATTCACGCGTCTGGAATAATTTCATATATTTTAATGAACTAAGCATTTTAAATGCGTTAATAATATCGTAAATTCATAATAACATTTAAATTCATGGATGGAAATTCAAAACGCGTCTCAAAGCGTCATCGAGATCAAGAAAATCCGATCGTAATCGGGTAAAGAGATTATTAAAAGCTTGTAAACTGTGTATAGTCTGTCGTTTTTTTAAATGGGGCAAAATGACAGTTTGTTGTGCAAAAGTGTTACCCGTTTACAATTTTTAGAATATTTTACTACCAAGTTTTTAGTACAGACCTCATAAGACGGTTCAAGGTCACTCAGCGGGCAATGGAGAGAGCGATGCTCGGTATTTTCCTACGTGATAGAATGAGAAATGAGGAAATCCGTAGGAGAATTAAGGTAACTGACATAGCTCGAAGAATTGCTCAGCTGAAGTGGCAGTGGGCGGGGCACATAGCTAGGAGAACCGATGGCCGTTGGGGCGGAAAGGTTCTTCAATGGCGACCGCGCACCGGACGACGCTCAGTGGGTACGCCCCACCAGGTGGACTGACGATCTGGTAAAGGTCGCGGGAAGCCGATGGATGCGGGCAGCGCAGGACCGATCGTCGTGGAGATCGTTGGGGGAGGCCTAAGCCCAGCAGTGGGCGTCGTATGGCTGAATGATGAAGTTTTTAGTAGAATATTAAGCTATCTGGACACTGGCAGGATTGTCCTCGAATGCGACAGAAGGCTGAAGGACGGAAGGCCAAAAACTACAAAAATAGGTTAAGCAGCTAGTGGTTGCAGTCGATAAATTGTCTATCTGCTATCCACTGAATGTTTGTCACTTATGCAATAGGTAAATAGCCGAACTTGTTTTATTTGAAAGATCAACAGCCCATTATTCGTCCAACTGCTGGGTACTGATTCATTTGAATTGTCATTTTTTGTAAGTTCATACGTATACACATACATATCTGGTCCGTCCCAAAAGTATCGAACATTTTTCAGGAAAAATACTTTTATTGAACTTATCGGTACCATACATTAGTACTCTTCAAAATAACACCCGTCGATGCACTTTTGTAGGCGAGTTTTCCATGCCCGGAAGGCCCCCTGGAAGACGTCAACGGGTAGGTCCTTCAGGGCCCTCGTCGTAGCTTCTTGGATGTCCTTAATTGTGCCCCAATGCTTGCCTTTGAGCTTCGACTTGATGCTGGGAAACAAGAAGAAGTCTGCCGGGGCGACGTCAGGACTGTAGGGAGGCTGCGGGACCAGCGGGCTTCGTCGGTCACCTCTTCCCTTCCGTCACAGAACATCTTGTGCCACTTCCTGACCGAGGATTCGGACAAGGCTTTGTCCTTGAAGGCCTGTTTAATCATCTCGTTGGTTTCCACAGTATTTTTGCCGAGTAGAACACAAAATTTCACTGCGTACCTCTGTTCTAACGGATCCGTCATCGCGCTACTTTTAAAAACTTCGACGAGGTGTCGTTTAGAGCTCTACGCGAACGCACGTCCTGCCGCTCCAGGTGCTCGGTGCAAACTGGGACCGGTCGCGCTGTATCGGCTAGATCCCCCCACCACTTTCTGTTGCCAAGCGGAGCGCTTCCCGCCGTTCGGCAACACTCCCAAAAAAAATGTTCGATACTTTTGGGACGGCCGTGCATTTAGAACTTATATTAAGTCTAGTAAGGTTTTGTTTTCATGTATACTTCATGTACTATATACTAATTGTACTTAATACGTTCACAATACTAAAGAAATTACAATTTAGCACGACATTCCACAGAACTTGTAATTTTCGCACTAATTAACCGGTTCATTTATATTTTAAAGAGGAAACATATTATAAATTTTTCATTTAAATTAAATTTATAAAATGTCTATGAACAAAAATTATTTTTATTGTCTAATAGACCGACTGTCAAAACAATTAGTAACCATTACAACGGCGTAACATTCACAATTGAGACATTTTTGGCAAAATTTTACCTTGTTTCACAATCTATCGATAACAACATGACTATTTAAAATTTTACGAGAACTGGCAACTTTGCAAATGCCATTTTACTCCGTTTTCAAAAAAGACAGGCTATAATTTTTTGAAAATTCGCTACAATTTTTATTTTTAACACACGATACTCACGAAGTTCTTCGCTTCTTCTTCGTAATGTGGACAGGTGAGAAGTGGAATTCTCTGCCTGTTGATCTTTCAGTGATAAATACACCTTGAGCCGTTTCAAGGTGAAAGTGAATAAATAGACTTAATTAGCTCTCGACAACATCCTCATTTACCACGAGCGTTTAGCTCTCTTTCAATGTCTGCTCTATGTCTTGTAAAAAAAGACAAGGGCTCTTTGGTTTTCGCGATTGTTATACATAAGAAACTATTTTTCACGGCCGTGATCATGGGACTTGTAAAGGGCCCAAAACGTTGGTTTGTTTGAAAAAAAAATACAAATATAATTAATTCATTTTCTAAAGACAATAAAAGCATTTTGCTTTTTATGTAAAACCACTGGAAATAATCTGAAATGAAAAGCTTTTTGAAAATCACGTTGACTTGCCAGTCATTGGGCCTGGCTACAAAAATACCTAGTTTCTATTTGGGTGAAGTTCGTGTCAATCGTCACTTATGTATAGTAATTTTTTTCACATCTAGCATAGCTTCGATACTGGCTTAGAGCTAGTTAGTGTACTATTAGTGGAGAGATTCAATCCGGCAGCCAGTGATGCGCTCGCCATAGTAAACAGTAGAAACCGCTGTGCGCCGATGCGTTGTTGGTTGATTGCTGTAGTGTGAAAATATAGTTTACACATAGTGTCGATGGCACGCAAACATTACGAGAAAAAAATGAGGAGATGCAAAAGGGGTGCAACTGACAAATGTAATAATTTTAAAACAATGAATAGATTGCACCCGGAGTGACAAAGTTTAAAAACTGGTTTCTGGGAAACTGATAAAATAGATTTAAAATACCGTACGTAAGAATAAGGTTGAATATCCTCAGAAAAGTAGTAGTAGTACTGTACTTATATTTTGTTAATTTTTAAATTTACTTTGTCTGTTTCACAGAAATCAAATCAAAAAAATCTAAAAAGAATGTCACTTCATTGTTGAGGGATACGATATATAATACCAATATTTATTTAGTGTAGTGGCGAAAAATTAAAAAAGAACAGTAGTGAAAAACGAACTTGGCGTACATTTATAAACATTTTTATACTTTAGTGCAGATAATTGAAGCATTGGGTGTAACAAGGGCGTATCACGTAAAAGTGAGATTGGAGAAAATTGAAAATAAAGTTTTAATATCTTATATATCTTTTTAATGTTTATAATATGCCTCTTATATACTTTATTATTTATTTGTCCTATGATTTAGCTGAAAGATTCAGGTGTTATTATTATTTTAATATAATTAGAAACATTGCAATTTTTTTTTTCCTTTTGTTATCCGCCATTGTTGCACCAATCCAATAAATTAATGGGGTGTTCGATTTATTATTGTTTTTTTTGGAAATCAATTGTGAATCAGTCAACTCAATCAAGTCAATTAAAAAAATTTAAACCTATTTTTAATCATTCATTAAATTCGCTGGATTGAAATGAATCAACAGTATCATCTTCAGCAGGTCGCACTGGCCTCCAAGATGCTCCATGTTGAGGATGAAGTCGCTCGTTTCAGATATTTTTTTTACATTAAAATAAGTTTTTACAAACTGCAAGTGGTTACAGGTCCGAAATTCAAACGCACATTTATAATCTATGCCACAACACCTTCTAAATGAATGACATTTACGCCATTTAGAAGGGAGAACGAAATTAGTGTTTGTCACAAGATACTAGATAGTGTTTTACATGTTTTGATGCAATAACATCAAAACGGGCTTTGGGTGCCGAACGCCCTTGTTGTTCCCAGTGCTTCAATTTTAAAAAAAATCGTTTCGTGTGCATATGTCTAATCTAATTACCTGGTTATTAGGAGCAAAACGCTGCAGCAGCGGGCGGTACCCGCTGCCCAGCGTGGCCAGCATAGGCGTATGCGAGCTGTCGTGGGGCAACAGGGGGACCATCGCCACCACCTGTCCCAAAATAACAAATCAGCTGTTGCCTTGGACTTACAACTCACGACGACTGTTTAATCGCGATTCAAGACTGCGTAAACGGGTGTTTAGTACCTATCATACACCAGATGTCGCGATTTTGTAAGAAACTTGTTTCATATTCACGACCTGCATTGTATCAAAGCTACTCGAACTTCTTCTAGTGATGAGAAACAAAACAACTAAATGGCGCTTATTGTACACATTTTAATGGATACTGCCGACTGTTCTTTTATTCTGTTCTCATGCCATCTACTGCTTCTATATATACATAATATAATGACGTGCCCTTTACATAATATAAACTACTTCCAGGTTAACGTTCAAAGCCATTCAGATATATTATTATAACAGTCCATGGTCCATGCCGTTGCCCTCCATCTTCTCTTTTCTGTTGTGTTCGTTTGCATTTGGGAATACTCACGTCCTGCTCGTAAGGTCGGAAGACCGTGAGCGGTCTCAGCGTGGGCGCGTCAGCGACGATCACGCATCCCCAAGCTGTTCCTACGTACGCTAAGTTGCCCACGCAGCACAAACTTGTCACCTAAAACCAAATTGAGATGGCCAAATAGCGCGTATTTTTGCGTGTTGATCTTAAAAAACGTGTTCTGAGTTCGCCTTTACCTTGCAACGTTCGGCGGACAGTCGTTCATCTATGGATATAGACTGCAAACTCTCCGAGCACGGAGCAAGTTTGCTGCAGTCCAGCCTCGCGGTCTGGCGCCGAGACAGCACGGACCATGCGTAGACGCACACGCCTGGGAAGAAAGAAGTCGTTACGATGCTGTGTCTACGAAATATTACTTGTTCAAAGCCGGGAGGTCGACGTATTTGCCAACAAATGACGTGTCCGCTCAGCGGCCTTAAGTCGCTTTGTAAATTTAACGAAAAGGTTGTTCCGTTAATGGTACTACAATAAATGGAGAATTTAACCAAGTTATCAGTTGGTTTTTTGACCTGCAATTTCCAGAAAATCGTTAGGGACTTTTAATACTATGTAACGTAAAACGGAACGGAACAGATTTTTATGTAATTTTTTGTCTAATAGGCTATTGGCCAATGCCATTAATGTATATTGACAGATCAGATGTCAATGTCATTCTTGTTGCAATTTAGGTAGACAAAATTTTAAATTAAATTTTTTTCATTAATTTTTTTTTGCTGCTTTTTGGACTTATTTAGTATTGTAGTGTTGCTGGTAATTAATTTAACTTATCTGCCACACTATTTTTTTAGGTCAATTAAACAAAATATTATGCTAAGCCCTTTAAATAAGCCCGTTAATTTACGTTATTGACAGTTAAGGGCAAAATTTAATTGTTCTGGCAATTAAAGATTGACAATTAATTAATTGTCAATTGCGAAACAGCAATTAACGATTGATCAATTGTTAGTTGCGAGAACCGCAATTAACAATTAATCAATTGTTAATTGCGGTTCTCGCAACTAACAATTGATCAATCGTTAATCGCAAATATCTACAATTAACAATTAATCAATTTTCAATCTTTTCAATGTTTTTGATTAACAATTAACAATTAAAACTGACAATTATGATAAATTTATAGGGCATATGGGGGTGAGTTAGCGCGTTGGTTATGGGGGCCCCGGTTGGGGGCCCCTCTTGTGGGCCCGGTTGGGGGCCGCGGTTGGGGACCCGGTTGGAGGGCCCCAGGGCCCCGGTTGATGGCCCTAGTTGGGGGCCCTAGTTGGGGCCCCGGTTGGGGGCCCTAGTGGGAGCCCCAGTTGGGGGCCCTAGTCGGGGCCCCAGTGGGGGCCCCAGTTGGAGGCCACAGTTGGGGCCACAGTTGGGGCCACAGTTGGGGCCACAGTTG